AACTGCTTATAGAGTTTTCTGCTTGTTTTGGATTTAAGGCATGTTTTTCTCCTCTTTGCTTTGGTAACATATCTGGCCCATCTCTGTCAAGGTCAACTTACTTTCTTCAGTAAGTGAGAATTTGCTTCTTCTGAAATCACTATTGTTGGGAGTACAGAAGAACTGGACATTTAAATGTTTACTCTAAAGGACATATCACTATTAAATACCTGCTGGTGGAGGAAAAATGGCAAATGAATTCTTGCTTTGTAGAACTCTCAAATAACATGTGTGTGCTACAGTAACTAGCTGGCCATTTCAACAGCTCCTAGGCCTTACTTTTGATTCCCCCCAAATTTATGTACAACAATTTGAGGGGGAAGGAAGGACCTTACTTTATTTCCACAATTAATTTTCAATGGCTGAGTTAGTCTTTTACTTGGCAATAACATTGGAGTATTTTACCTAATCGCTTGTTAACAATCACATTGAATTTTTGACAAAATCAACTGCAGGTTATTCTTTCAAAATACCAACAGATTTTGGGAAAAAATTATGTAAAAGGGATTTGGGACTCCATCCAAATGGCTGCTTCTCAGCAGGAACTTCCAAAGACTGAACAGAACAGGAACCAAATTTGCTACAGGGGAAGAAGCCGGCCAAAAATTTCAGGTTTGAAAATGGGCTGAATCCAGCCGGATGCTATAGAAAAAAAAAAAAAAACGAAGACAATTTTCCCTTAGTGCATCCTTATGGAGAATGGCAGCTGGACAATTGCTGAGGACTCTGGTAATTCCTCCATGGTCACCAGGACACAGAGTGAGGAGCACATGCAGCCGACTTCCCAGTGTGCACAAACACTCAAACGTACAGATGCAACATGAGAAGGGAGTAGAAACACAGACAAAGATGAAATATGTTACTTAGTTACACAGAACAAAGTAGACCCCTTCTATGGCCTCTGGGTAAAGAGTTGGAAAGAATTTTGCATGCTTTTGTTCTGCATGCTTTCCTAGTCTTGATTCACTTCCAATTTGCAGCAGAAACTGTTAGTATCCTTGTTTGGTACTTTTTGTTAATTTAAATAAATCAGTGTCCTTATTTCTTATGAAGCAAGAAACATGCCAATTATTGTATTGATGATGTGTTTTTCTTTTATTCACTCTTTACGTACTCTATTCTACTAGATTGAGGTGCTGTTAAAACAGTCACCAGATTTCAGCAAATAGTTTGCATATATAATATGCAGCTATGCTCTTTAGGGAACTTGCAAATTGGATAGCTAAACTGACATTAGTTCTGCCAAGTCCCAACCACAGTGATTTCTAGTTCCCACATCACTAAAAAGGATAAAGATTGGAGCCTGTACCAGATTTTGCAAGGACTTTAATTGGGCTATTTCTGACTCCCAAAGTATCAATGCTGCTATGCATATAGTTCCCTTCTGATTTAATGTGTCTGTATCAGCTTGTGGCATGAAGGAGGAAGAGAATCATTCTGCCAATCAACAGATTAAGACTGTGCTGCTATTGTTTTTAAATGAATGTAGTATTAGAAAACTAAGTTCCATTCTGCCTGGAATTCTGTCCTTTTGATCTGAAGGTATTTAGTTTTTTTTTTTTAATAAATTTTTTATTTTTTACA